GCCCTAGGAAACTCCACCGAAAGGCTGGCCGGCTACCCGAGTGGCTCTTCGAAGATCGCCCGGTCTGGCTGCAGGCGAGCGAAAGAACGCGACGCCCTTTAAAGGGCTTTGGGTTTTGGGTTTGGGGTTTTAGGAGTTCTTCAAAAATTTCAAGGGAGTTTCAGAGGATGTTCATAGGGTTTGGAAGGTTTGCAGGGCTGTTCAAGGTTTTAGGTTCTATAGGTTTTCTATGAGTCTCCAAAATATAAGGGCCTAAAATACTACCAATACTATTTTTGGGTTCCTGAATATAAATATACTATATAATATAATGGGCCCCAAAACCCTAATCTAATTATTAAGGTTTGGAGATCTGGCTTTTTTTTGCCGCGTAGGCGTCTCGCTGTGGGGTAGAAGCGCTTCGTGGTTTGAAGTTCATACCTCCGGGAGGTTTGGATTTGGGGTTAAGGGTTGATGAAGCTTGGGATTTCGGCGTAGAGTTCCCCAGGTATTTGAGGAAGCACAACCTCAGCCCTCAACCCTCCACATAATGATCGTCATCATAATGCTCAGAATAACAATAATAGTTGGAGTTCCAACAGAAACAAGTTGTGGATTCGCCATCAGCGCAATGATCTCGACTCGACGGTGCCGCTGTTGGATGATCCCAATTCCGTGTCCATCGTTCGATATCTGTGGCCATCTGTGCTTGTCGCCACATTTTTGAGTCAAGCTACCTCCATTGTCACTCTACTACTCATATTGTGTCTTATTCTTCTCCTGGGCATCGTGGCGATGACAGTGATCTCAGGAGGGGTGAGTCTTACGGTGATGTTGTTCATGCTCACGCAACCTCTCGCGGCCACATGCCAAAAGCATGTTTTTAGGCTTTTCAGGGTTCTTACCACATGTTCTCGGGCTTTTCAGGCTGTTCAGTGCTGCCTGCTTCCAAATCGGGGGTGTGGGGGGTGGGGGCGCATGATGATATGCTTTGTCGGCTTGAAAGACCCGGGCAAGCAAGTTCTGTGCTTGGCAATCAAGGATATTGAGTGCATGCGCGTATTCCCACTTGCATGGCAGTGCATGCAGCTGCTTCGCTTTCAGCATCGCCATCTGTCAGCTTAACCTCTAAAACCCTACTTGGAGGTTCATGGGACTTGGTAAATAAGTAAAGTTTTAAGTAGCTTTGAATATTGGGGTTATAAACAAGTCTAAGTCTAGCTACCTTACTGTTAGCTACAATTACTAAGTCCCATGAACCTCTAAGTAACCCTAAACCTTAAACCCTCGAACCTTCATCCCTAAACCCTCACACATGCAAAATCCCTGGGGCGCGTAGCCTTCTCGGACACAGTTTCGCTCGGAAGCTAGCCAACTACTACAACTAGTACGAGTACTAGTACT